ATTAATTTCAGGAAACATATTGTTTTCCTGCTTTGTAAAAGAGAGCATTGAAAAATTGTTTGTTTTTACAAAAGTTAAGGCTGTCCTGATCTTAGATGCAGAAAGTCTGTGGTCCCCCAAAATGACATATTATATTTTCACATTGAAAACAGGGTTTTTTTTGTTTTTTGCTTTTTTTGCACTACAGTTCTGGCCTTCCTACGTTGGACTGGAGCGGAGAGGGAAGCAGGGGCCTATTTAAGTCATAACGATTAAGGGTCAGGGGCAAGGCTGGTCTAAGGATTCCGTAGTGAAATTGCCCTTTCAGGATGTATTCTTTATCCTTTTCTACATTCAGATAATAAATATTTTGGTTTTTGTTAGACTGAGAATTTTATTATGGAGTTTGCTGAAGCTATGAAAATACAAACACATAACTGCATTGTGCTCCTCAGAAAACACTTTTTCTTTTTCCCTAAAAAATGCAGGAAAATCTTCCTGATAAGAACCGAGGAGGGCTACTCAGTGAAGGTGAGACGGCAGCAGGAATCAAAGACCCCCATCTTGCTCATGGCTCTGAGCTCTTCTGGGATACTCACTTTTCCTCCATGTATCTGCTGGTGGTATTACCCTATAGGACAAAGGGTCTTTCTAGTTCTATCCTAATCAGTGGAGTTCTATATACCTTGCTTAGTAAATTGAGGAGCTTCTAAAAGATTGCCTGTTTACAAAGTTTCTGACACTTATAACTTAGCTATGCTGAGAATTTGTGGTTTCAATAACAAGGGTGCATATTGCAAAACTACAACATAAAACTGCTCGCCTTGGAATTTGTTGTCAACAAAGTAACATTAAGGGAGATGAGAATATTTCCCGCAAGGAATGAGGTTTGGTGAGTTAAACTCCACAGGGGACTAGTTGACAGAGACAGCTGAGCTTCTGGATTTAAGTACAAACAGGCAAACAAAAAGTCCTCTTTTTTTATATTTTGTCTATGTTCATCTGTGTTTCAGTAGTTTTATTTTTTATTTTTAAACTCAATTTATTGGGGTGACACTGGTTAATAAAATTATATAGGTAGCAGGTGTACAATCCTATAGTACATCATCTCTATATTGTATTGTGTGTTCACCACCCCAAGTCAAATCTCCTGTTCATCTGTGTTTTAAATTGCCAGCGTTAATGCTTTTTAAAAAGAAGTACTAGTTTAGTGGCACACTGTTTGCTTCTATTGCCATATCCCCTCCTTCTCTTTTGCTATCTGTTCATTTGCTGGAATTAAGTAAATGGTCATTGCCAAGGGTGTTGGTCCCCTGAAATGAGATTCTGCAGGAGTGAAGAGAAATAAGCTGTTTTCACACTTGGCCTCAACATTTTGCTCCAGAGATACTGTAGAGCAAATAGAGATCTCTAGACGAACAGTGTCCCCCTTTTATATAAACTTGACCCTTCCCAAAATAAAATATTCTACTTGTATATAGGAAAAACACATTTGTCACCAGGAGGAAGATGTAATAAGTAGGAATTTGAAGCAATACATGTATATCAACATTTCAGAAAGAAGCCAAATCAAACAAACACTAGAATTTGTTTGAGTTTCCTGAAAGCTTCTGAATAATTGCAGGTTGCTCAGGAGACTGAAGGGAACTATGTTTTGGGTTTAGCCACACGGGAATTCCTAGCCCCTTGTCCTCTCTACTTCCAATATTAAGTGACATCACTGGGCATTGTCAAATCACTTTTAGAGCCAGCTAATTTTTGCTTATATAAGGAATTAATAAACTGATGGGTAAAAGAGGTTCAGTTATAAAAAAAGTTCCCCGTAGTTTGTCTTACTACACATCAAACAAACAAACAAAAAAAGTCAAGGATATACAAGTCACCATGATTTTTCAGGATATGGAAGATTAAACTTTATCATTTTAACCATTAAAGTATCTTTAATTCAATGCCACTGAAAATGTATTTGTAAACAAATGAAATATTCCTTCTCTCCCTTTCTCCTCTTTCCATTTAAAAGGGAACTAATGGTATGATTTTAAAAGAAAGCCCAAGTAACTCTTAGCTTGAAAAAGACCACCGTTTTGCAGCTTCATAACTGATTTTCTAGTTAGTCTGGTTACACAAGTCAATACTCAGAGAACGCCGACGACAGCAGGGGAGGCAGGACGTTCACAATCACGATTCCGCTTTTTCATTATGAAGGGTAGTTACTGTTGCTGTAGTTGGGATTATAGGTCTCATCCCCTGAGAGTACCGGCTGAGCCTGAGTCCCCCATTACAACAGGAAAATGATACAAAATATGCAAATATGTGCCATATTCAAACACACCTGCATTTACTGTGGCCACAAATCATTTAAATAAAGGTAGCACATCTTGCTTTAAAAACCATTACATGAAAAGCTTTAATAGTAAATGTATAGAGAGCACTCTAATTCATATAAATTGCTAATCCCTGTAATAATTATTGGTGAATGGGAGTGCAGATTATCATTGGTCTCTTAGGTCTTCTGCATGGTGTTGTAGTGAGAGGTACAGATCGTATTCTTCGTGAGAAACGAGTTCACTTATGGAAGGAAGGGCGGATCATTTCAGGGAACAATTATCTGTCCTAGAAGTTTCTGATCCTGTTTATCAGCCAGCAAGCCCGAGGGTGCTAAGTTCCACCTTTCCACTCATTAACTGTGCTTTTAAACACTCATATCAGATAGTTTTAATCCCCCAGGGAATTTTTTTTTAAAAAAAGGTAAGCTATGGTAGACTTTTAGAATCTCCTTTCTTAAATAATTATTAACATAATAGATTGTCCAAAACATTGAAACTGTTTTCTTTTTCTATGTAGATATGTTTATTTGGCATCTTTTTATTTAACATTTAAATGATGCTTATGTGACCATTTACTGAGGAGCATGAAGCTGAGGAATACTGAGATTTATAAGCCGCAAAACCTGGTATTATTTCTAGATGACAGAACAGGTTTATTCCATTGCAGCTGTTTTAGTAAACCTGAGATTTAGAGAAATTTCCCTCAACTATTCAAAACCAAGTCATGGGTGAAGTCATCTTAGAAAGCAGAACTTTTAGCTCCTTTATTTTTCCCCTTTTTTAACTTTTGTTTACATGTTGGTGATAAAATGACTCACATTGTGCTCATTAAAATGTAGTTAGAGAAAAATTAACCTTAAACAATAAAAAATATCTTTTCGATTAGAACACCTATAATTTCAAGCCAAGAAATTAAGAATACTAATAGATTTAGCACTGAGAACGCTATTTAGGGCAAATTTAGTTGGTCCCGAAGTCAAATTCTCTCAAGACTCCTTTATTTTTTCCTCATCTACTTTTCACAGAAGTTAGACTTGATGCAGTATGTCTCATTGCATGTTTTTTAGACCTATGTTTCATGGAACACAGATAATTTTGTGAATGATTTGCAACAATGCTATTAATATTTGGGCAAATAACTTAATGGTAAGAAAGATCTCTCTGTTACTAAAATCAATTAAAATATTACATCTTTATTTTATCACTAGATTATTATGTTATTAAATTGCTTCCCTTTGGTTTTACTATCCATGTGCCTATTTGCTTTGGGGAAGTGCTAAGAATTTATTTAAAGAATTGTTCATTATACTCTAGATAAAAACTCTTCTTTGATGTTCTGGAATCTTCAGAAGTCTTAGGAAGCTCAGCTATGTGCCACTCAATCAATAAGTATTTGTGAAAGGAATTTAAGCATTTATAACATTGAGAAGATAGGTCTATCTTACTCTTTTACATTGTTTGTGTTTGTTTTTTTACATTTTAAAATGTATTTGGAGGGTGGATAAACCTACATGCTGACGTTACAGGAAACATTTCTCTTTCTCACGGGGACAGAAAGAAAAGAGTCCAGAAGTAAGGCTCTGCAATCAACTGGGCAGGTGAGATGACAGGTAATTCAGTGACAGCACCGTCCGCAATGAAGTGGGAGTCTCACAGCCCCCACTGTGGGTCAGAAAGACTGTCCTAGAAATATGGTCACTGCAGAGATACGCCTCACAACGATCCCTTCATTGAAAAGAGATTAACATGATCAGAAAATATCCGTGAAAAAGAAAACAATATAAAAATTTACATTGTTTTGAGAGACTAGAAGCAAGGTTCGTGGATTTGCCTACATTTGTAGACCACTACTGATGCTTAAAACAATGTTTGTTTCATGTTCTTAGAAAATTAAAAAACGGTGCTTCTTCTACAAAGAGTCCATCAGTTAAGCCATGAATGAGGGACAGCTGCTGATGGGCAGATGACGGACATCAGTCCCTACTTTTCAGCTGGGACAAGCACTGGGTTCTTTCCTTTTACATCAGCTTCATTTCAGGTTTAACAGAAGGAAAGCCATAGATGCACAATACTGTAATCTGGAAGCTTATGTAAGGCAGCAAAAAGCATTACCCTAGATTGGAAAGACTAAGTAAGGTCCACTTTTGGCTACACTAGCAACTGGCTAGAGCCAACAGCAGTTTGCCACACAAGATATAAAAGCAAAGATCCACAGCAAGGGAGGCAAGGGAGACACCAGCAACGTGGCGATATGTAAATACGGTACGGGAACACACTACCAAATAAACCCCGGGGACACTAGGTTCAAGTCCAGTCAAGTGAATTAAGGCTACTATATAACTCGCTGATGTGAAGAGTCCATTCCAATAGAGCAGTAAGGAACTGATTCCCTCTTGAAGACACAAGGAAAGGTTTAGAGGAAAAGCAAGTTCTTGGAAAGAATGGAGCACACACATGCACGTTGTCTCTGAGGTGAGGAAACTGGAGAAAAATGAAAGGGGAAAAAAAAATAAGAGAGATCAAAGCAATCCGACTGCAAGGCAGGCAGGTGCTGGCTTCCAGTTCACAGTATTGCAGTTAGTGGTACAGTGAGGTCTACGCAAGTGGTGAGCACAGAGGCTGCCCAGAAGAAAAGGGAAGAAAGAAGTGGTCACATGACAACACAGCATTGACAGCGCTTTTTCTTTTGGGTACCTGGGGCCGGCTCTGTGGCCAGGCTCTCTTCCTTGCCTTCTGGGGATGAGGGCTCTGTGGTGTCTGAGACAGGCCTCCCAGACACAAGCTCAGCTGCATTCCCGTCAATAGTGGACACATCCGTCACTGTCTTCTCCCTCAATGACTTCTCATCATCTTCATCAATGAGGACCAACTCAGCCTTGATGGTTTCATCATAGCCTAGCACCTTTTTAGTCTCCTCTTCATCCTCGATATTTTGGTAGCCCATGAAAATCATGGTGACGGGCTGATCCAAGTTTGCCTCCTGCCCTCCAGTGCTGGGGGCTTGGGCCTGCTGCCCTGGGTTCCCGGAAGAGTGATCTTTCCTAGACTTATGTACCATTTCTAACTTGGCCTCTTTGCAGAGCACGTGTTCCTTAGGGGGGCTGAGGCTGCCATCTGCAATCACAGTCCTTTCTGACACGTGCCCTCCTCTTAAGCTTGATTGTCCAGCCTTCTGTATAAGCTCTTCTACGTCCTTGGAGCTTAATTTGTGCACTCCGTTTTCTACTACGGTGCCTCCTGAGCGCACCTCATACACTACTTTGGTACCATCGTCATAGACTTTGACTCCTCTCTGATGGACCCCCTCTGGGCCAATGGTGGATGCAGAGAGAATCTTGGTCTCTCCTGTTTGTTTGTCTTTCTCCACATTAATTTCCATGGCGTACACAGCTTGAATGAAAACAAGAGAAAGGAAGTGCATGTTACAACAAAAAAAGCCAGTGAATGGTTAATTGCCAAACAGACCAAAAAAAAAAAAAAAAAAAAAAAAAAGGTTTTGTGCCCTTTCTAGTCTACCTGCCAAGCATCGTGAGTGTTAGAATGAGTGCACATTGTGGACAGAGGTGGTTATATGTGTGTTTTAACATAGCAGCTTAATACACTGGGAAGACAGATGTACAGAGTTACCACATCTCATTGGCACTTACACCTCTAAGAAGATTTGCTGCAATGCAGCCACAAGCGACTGTTTAGATCCAGTGAAATGAATTACAGGGAGGCTGGCAACATGCAAGTTTACTTTGATTGATGGCTTACCCTCAGCTTATAGACAGTTGCAAAGCCTTTGATTAAGATGCATCCTAGTTCCAAAATCTTACATCTTTTTTAACCCTTTCAGCAAGCATTCCACTGCTGCTTCTCCATTTCCCTTTACTGTTTAACGGAGAATATGTGAAGCTTTTTGCAGGTATGACAGGTACCATAAAAGAGGGTTATTTGCAAAATTGAAAAGCTACCAAAGTAGACAGACAGTATGCTCTGTGAGTACTTTGCTCACTCAGCTAGGTTTCTCAAACAAGAACTAGAAAAGAACAAGACAGAGGGCACCTCATCCCATGACACTGGAATCTGAGGACGAGGGTCACGGGAGGTACCTCGTCTTCTTCCATGTGCCCAGTGCCAAGTCCTCGTGATTCCGCCCCATACCACCTTTCTCATCTGTCACCTTCTTTCTGTTCCACTGCCACTGCTCAATCCGAGACACTGTTTGCCCTTCCCCAGATTATTGCAAGAGCTTCCTATGTGGTCTTCCTGCTCTGGTTTCACCTTCTCCAACTCATCCCAAATCTACTGCGGCCAGTCTGGGGTTCCTAAGGCCCGCTTGTTCCTGTCCTGTGGTTTCCTGTGACACTCCACCCTTTCAAATCTGTTATCTCAGAGGCACACGTTCTGAGTGTGAGGAAACTGGGCGTTAGACCCATAGAGCCAATTCTCCCTTGCCCGGAAATTCTCAATTTCCCCGGATGCCCTGTGGGTACCTCAACCTCTGCAGCTTCCGAACTAAATTCTTTTTCTCTCCAAACTCCTCCAGGCTTAGTGGTAAATAATACTAGTACCACCTCGTCTCTCAAGCGAGAAGGCTCAGAATCGCACCCAATTTGCTTGTCCTTTTCTTCCTAATTACCCAATAGCCAAACAATTGTTGAGAGTAACTAACTGTATTTCAGACCTGCCCCCGTGCATCTCCTCACCACTGCCTGCGTCACCACCGGCCCCGGCCAGACTCCCCGCTGCTCCCTGCACCGCAGTCTTGTTTCTGTTTCACCTGCCACTTATCTTGTCTCATGGCCAGAGGGCCAAAGGTTGCCTGAGGCTTGCTTTTGTGTGGCCAGAGGAGCACAGATAGTTTTTATATTATTAGAAGACAGTAAAAAGGAAAAGAAAAAAAGAAAGAAAGGAAGGTAGGAAGGGAAGAAGGAAGGGAAGAAGGAAGGAAATGTGATAGAGATCATACGTAGTCCACAAAATCTGAAATGCTGCGATCTGGCCATTTACAGAAAAAGCCTGCGGTCCCCTGCCCACAGTTGTCTTACTCATAAAGCCTCTTTGGTTCCCATGTCTGTATAGGATAAACACCAAACTCCTTAACTTGGCATTCAACGCCCCTCTGAGTTGGTCTGCAGCCTTCCTTTCTAGGCTTGTCCTGCAGCCCCGCTCACGGCACAAGCATCCCCGCCGTAACAAACTGCTAAGCGTGCCCGGGACGCTCACACCCTGCCAGGACTGCCCTCTCTCTGCCCAGACTGCCTTTCCTCCCTTCTCCACTTCAGTCTCCTCGAGTCACATGTCACATCTCTGCTTATCATTGTGTTTGCGTTCCTACTTGTTTCTGAATAACTACAAGTCCCCCAACTGTGTTAAGGAGATTGAAAATATCATTTCAATCCCATGTGCGACTGTTCCCTTTCCCTCTAGCACAACCAAATAACACCATCCCACACCTAAACATTCCTTGCTTTTAAGATCCCCTTCTCTTGAAATGTCCCTCTTTTGAGTTTCTGTGCATCCAAAAGTGACTCATCCACCCACGTCCAGATCAACTCCTCCCTCTTCCATAAGCTGTCTTTGATCCTCCCATCTCTAAGTCATCCCTCTCTTAAGATCCTTTGAACGTGGTTTTAAACCTCTCTGAAGGCACTTAATACTTTATTATCCTTCCGCTCAGTAGTTCAAGCATTTGTGGTAATGTTTTATTAGCTCCACAGATTTTTAAGGTCTTTGAAGGCTAGTTTCTTGCCTGCCATCTTTCTGTGATTCCCCCTCCCCAACAGCACCTACCTTAGAGCCTTCTGTACAGAAGGTACCTGATATACGTACCTGTGAAACAAATGCCACTAATTGAAGAGTCTAATTGGGTTGTCTTAAGCTAATCACAGATACTTTGTATAGTATGACACCCATGAAAAGGTACACACAATAATTAATGTTTGAAATGGGTTAAAAGAAACAGCAATGATACTGTTCCATCTGCTTGTGTAGTAAGATATAATCTGTTCGTGGTTGACACTTAACTAAAAGACTCTGAAGCAAAATCCAATGCTTGATTTTCATTGGGTCCCTTTTTAAAGTTTCACTGTTCAGCACAAAGATCTTGCATTTCCTTAAGTGATACAATTAGAGGCCAACTAATATTTGTCATGGAGGTGCACGGGCTCACACAATGACAGTGACATGAAGAGAAATATTTCTGTGTTTTTTCCTGGTTTTCCACAAAATGTATCATCAGAGAAATAGAATAGGCTTTTATTTTGCATGGGCCACAAGAAGTCAGTTTTTTAAATATCATGCTTACATTAAAGTGTATGTTTTGGGGGTTAAAATGTTATGTCTTATCACTATTAACTCACTCACGGGACAGATTTATAAATAAAGGTAATAATGATTACTAGTTGTAGGTACAATAGTTAATTATCTCCCAAACATCCAGTAACATGTGAACAAAATGACACCTTTACCTGCTACCAATACAGATTATGGAATAAAATATTTCTATTTTTATATCTATATGAGGATGCAAATTATTAACATGGGAATCTTTAAAGATATCCGTCTCCCTCTGCCCACCAATGAGAATGCTGTCCTTGTTGGTCTGTTTTTCCCTTCACCACCCTGACCCTCAACCTCATTTTGTCTTTGCCTGCTCCTAGAATCCGGGACTGGACAGAAAGGAGGGATGCTGAGATGTTCCTTGCTGGAAGGGTTAGGTAGATCCACACAATAAAGAGTTTAGTGGAAGGGAGGATAAAGCTGCGTGGGACACAGAGAGAGAAAACATTGTGTGGTGTTAGATGATACTTTGGGGACAGCAGTAAGTGGAAAGAAGAAATGGAAATATAAGAAATATGCCTGGGTGTAGATATGCTTTGGATTCCTTTTAATATCCTTCCAAAAAAAAAAAAAAACAGGTAAAGAACAGTTTCGTTTTATTCATTCATTCATTTATTTATCTATACCTGTGATCTTAAACTGTATACTGTTAAATGTGACATGGCTCTGACTCTGAACCCCCTATTACATGGTTTCATTAGGGTTACACATTACTATTTATATTAACATATTATACACTGTCTTTCCAATATTTCTAGAATATGGTAGAACACTTTAAGATACTTTTATAATGCAATAAACCTAGATATATTATGCCATAAAATACAACATTATCTGTATTTCCCTCCCAGGTAAAACACAAGGCTTCAAAGGAACCACTGATTTTTAGCAGGTTTCTCCAAGGTTTGCTCTCACATGACTTGTCAGCATTCACTATCTTTGCTGCTAAGGGGGACTTAGGTGAACACCAAGAAGCTCTGGCTCAACACAAAGGCAACCTTCAGACTTTATGGACATGCATATAGGAATGTTATCAGACATTCAGAAAATGACATTAGGAGGGACAAGCTTTCATCTTAAATGTGTTGTTTATGAACGAGCCTTTATATTTTGCTCTAGTTCTCAGCCAATGATATTTCCAATGTGAACTAAGGTAGATATAAACCTGGAGTAAAATGAGACTTACATTTTAAATTCAGCATTTTGTTTTTCATGCATGCACACAACTTTAAAAACTTCTGCTTTTACTGCTACCAAGTAGTGTACACCAAAGAGCTCTCACTTAAACCATGCCCTCATCTCTAACCACAATAAATGCTCCCTAATCCACCCTGTTCTTCCATCAAGCCTCCCCACGACACAGGCACACTACAGTCTGAGTAGTGATGAGGGTCCTGTGTTCATCTCATTGAAAAAAATGAAGATGCTGCTCAGGGGAGGGGACCCTCTGGGGAGCCCCTAAAAGAGACCTTGAAAGAGCTCCATGGACATAAAAGTGTTTGAAGAAATGCTGTCTGAAATTTCCTGGAAGAAGGATCTGGAGACAGAGAAGAAAGGAAGGATATAGTGCCATGGAAGTTTCAGGGACAGGAAGACTGAATGAAGTCTGTTCTTACAAAACGATAATTTAATTACTGATTTCCAGACATGACAAATTGATGACAACAAGATTGCAGTATTCAAAGCATTTTTGCTATTCCTTCCAATAACCCCGTAAGACAGGGGAGTGACGCATTCATTTTGTTAATTAAAAATAAGAGCCAAGGTAGCTGGGTGCTGCAATGGGATAAGAATGGATGACTGAACTGGTATTTTGACTTTGGGCCTTGCTGATTGGTTTACTAGGTTCTTACTCCCTCGAAGCACTAAGGAGAACCACTTTGAAGACGCAGAAATGCTGTAATGGGGTGGGGGGGGAGAGGCCGGGGGGGAGGGTGATAACCCCAGCCTCTGGGTTCTGAAAATGGCCAGGTAGGGGGTGCCTGGGGAGGACACCTGCCTAAAAACTAGGTTGAGGGAAGGATGAAAAACTACAGTGGCCTAGCATGCATCAGCAGCCAAAAAGATGAGTCTAAGCAGCAGAGAATGCTTGGTTCCAGTTCAGACTCATTCCCCTGGCTCTATTACTGTCTTCTTCCCTGTTACTTCCAGGCTGAGCAAAAAGAGAGCAGCTCTAAGGGCTATATGGAGGCCGGGGAAGAGGAAACATGAACATGTGGCACAGTAAGGAGAGATGGGGAACCAACTGACATGATTCCATTTCAGAACCAAGCCAAGGGGTTACAAAACAAGACACTGTGTTCCATAAGGACGGAAAATTCAATCACTGTTAGATCCTTTGATTCAGGCTTCTCCCAGCTCACTTGCCTTGACTCACTGTGATCAGTGGGAGGAGGTACGGGCTGAGGGTCCATATGGAAAGAATGAAATGACACCCCCGCTGTCATTAGTCTGTAAGATGGGAGGTATCAGAAGGAGGGAGAATGACAGTGGGTCTGATTCTTATCCAGACGACAGTCCATTTTGGGGTCTCACTCTTCCCAATTGTACAATGAAGGGTATCCAGCTTTGACATCTCATGGAGCTGTGAACAGCATGCATACTCCTGTGTCAGTGATGTGTAAAGTATAATAGGAGGGTAGTAGACAGCCAGAGCATGATTGTCACCCAGAAGCGAGATCATCCGGCTATAAGGAACACTCAGTAGCTGGTGCCACTTCTGGAATGTGGAAGAGAAGCAGTGTACATGCTTGGTTCATTGAATGAACATACTCATATGTGTAGTCTTGTCCCTTCAGACATATGATTATACATAAACATGTATGTTCACACTTTCTCTGGAGACTGGAAACAGAAAATTGACTATTTTCTATAGAAAATGAGGCAATTAACTCCAAGTGGATTCTCACTCTCATCCCAGAGGGCAATCTCTAACTTCAAAACCCAGTAATCAAAAATGCCTTTGAATGACTGTTTTCCCGGGACACCTTGGTATTAACAAACAGAGGTCGGCACATATGTGATGTTGCCAGATAACAGAAGCAAAAGCCTATTTCTCATATGTAACTTTACTTCCATTTTTTGGTCAAGAAGGACAGTGTTCAGTCTGAAAAGTGCTGGAAAGATTATATTGCTAAGAGGGACATAAGGAGTAGAAAATAATAAAGCACCAGGGATAGAAATGCTCCCAGTGCTTCGGGCCAGGGGTCCCAGCTCCCCTGCTGATGAGCGTGTCTCAAGGATCCTGTACACCAGGGAAGGCGCTGGAGGCAGGCAGCTGAAGTTCTGATGTTCAAAAATGAGGGGGGAATTCAAGAAACCACGTAGAAGTGAGCCGGACATCACAGCCAGCTAAATTCAAAGAGCAGAGATCACCAGGGGCCAGCATGGGTCCTCCAGGCAGACGCTATGCAGATGAATCTCATTTTCTTTTTTGTTCAAGGTCTCTATATAGATTAGGCCAATGCCAGCGATACAGCACATCTGGGCCATCATAAAACCCCTTATATTCCTGTGGACAAGACAGAAACTGACAACTGCTGCAACGTGTTACTTGTTGAATGGTCTAGGGTCCCCATGGGCCAGGAGACCCTTAGCGGTGTGCTTGCAGGCCTCTGGCTGCAGTTCCAACTACACAACATTTTTATCAGTGAAATGATGAAAGATAATAAAGGTGTGCTTTTCAGATTTGAGGTGAGAATAAAAGTAAGGCTATGGGGCGCCACAAGCACGAGCCATTGAGATGCCGACAATAGAGTTTTTTTCCTACTTTCAAAACTGTTAAACCCTTTACTCAAATGAAACCCGAAACAGAAATACAATTGTGAACACAAGCATTGAGGAGCTGCTGTGTTTGAAATGGGAGAGAACACCGGAGCCCTAGCTACCAAATCGCCAAATCGCCGTACCTCATTCCTCCTCCTACCTTCCCCTGAGGCTCCTCACTGACCCCATGAGACCCCCTCCCCTGGTCCTTATAAGGGACAATCTAACAGCCAGGAATTTAACAGTCACATCAAATCTACCAAGGGGAGAAAGGTGCATAGCTCATTCTTAATTTTGCCTTTTGAGATTAAGAAATAAAGAATGTTGTAGGTTCTTCTGCGTGGGAGCGGATGTAGCAGTGTGTGCGCACCATTGTGGGGAAGAGACTGCACGTTTCACCTGAAATGATTCTGAACAATGACGGCGCTGGGTGACACGGGCAGGAGGCTGAGCACTGGCACGTGTGAAATGACTCTGAGGCTTGGCTGTAGAACCCGAAGCTGAAAGGTCATGATGCCAACAAAATGAGTCAAATGATCGGTGGTGTCACGCCCTGCTCTATGGGGAGATCACCCCTCCCAGAGTGTGTAGGGCTGCTCTGGGCACTTCAGGAAGACCTGGGACAAAGTGTGGCGTGTTCAGAGGGCAGGGGCAGGGATGGTGGAGGGTGTCTCAAAGCAATCTCATCATCTTGGGACCAGCTAAAGACACTGGGGCTGTAGGCGATAGGGTGATGTAAAGTGAGGATCTGGGAAAGATAGGAAATGATAGTCATTTTTTTAAAAGATTTTATTTATTTATTTATTTATTTATTTGAGAGAGGGGAAGGGAGGGAGAAAGAGAGGGAAGGAACCATCAATGTACAAGAGATACATCAATCAGTTGCTTCTCACACACCCCCAAAATGGGGACCTGGCTTGCAACCTACGCATGTGCCCTGACTGGGAATTAAACTGGCGACCTTTTGGTTCATGAGCCAGCACTCAGTCCACTGAGCCACACCAGCCAGGGCACGATAGCATTTTCAAATACTTAAAGGAAAATCAGAACTTAGATTTGTTCTGTGTGGCTCCTGGGCGCAGGACAAGAACTAATGGGGACAAGAAAAGGGCAGACGAACGATAACTCCATCAGAGGAAAAACTTCCCAACAGTCAGAACCAAGTATAGACAGAGTGGGTCCCTGGAGGGAGACTGAGCTCAGGCAGCACGGTGTGGCACCACGGTGAGAGGACCCCTCCACAGGGCTGCTATACCCTGGCTTCCATGTTTGAACTGGAACAGGTGCCTCTTAATTCTGAAAAGTAATGATTCTAAATATATTCTCATTTATTCAGAACCCTAAACCTCCCAAACTCTAAATGACCAGAACATTTGTCATAATACTGAGTAATGACAAGTGACATTTATACAAATGGCTGTACGTTTGTCCCTAAAGCAAGGTGGGTGATTGATACCTAGGAAAATTCTAGAGGTGAGTGCCATTAGTTGGTATGCTATCCATGCTCTGTGTAGTCACCACCATTGATAATGAATTTGAACACTCTCTCCCCAGACCAGTCTGGACAAAGGAGTACACAACACCACATCAAACACAATTCCTTCCACAACTCTGCTGCTCTGTGTTTCCACAGTAGATGCATTCATGAAAATTAGTTCTTTAATAAACAAAACTACATGTAAATTTATTTTTTTAAAAGATTCTGAATCACATATACTTTTTTTAAAAGAGGCATTTGCTCTTTGGATCACTGAGTTTTCGGCAGGACCTCTAAATGTGACGGACGCCAGCTTGTGATGCCACGGGTGTTCCTACACACAGCACTAAACCACATCAACTTAGCACTCTTGAATTTAATACTCCTTGACTACCAGCACTATGCAAATCCTCTTTAGGTCTCTTAAAAATTAGTTCTCACACACTGCCCCTGCCCTCTCCCCGTGCTGATCCATTCGCTGGAGCCCACTGCACGTCCTGCAAGGTGCGGGAAGAACAAGCAGGAAGGCGTGTGACCTTCGAACAGTTATTACCCGACTCGATCTCAGAAGTGCACCTTGGAGCGTAAGTCGCTGCCAATGATTCCCCTGTAGCACGGCTGCAGGCTACAAATTCTGGTTTATCCGTTCTGTAAGTATCCAGGGAAACGTGGCCCGGACCTGGGTCTGACCAGACACCACTTCCGCTCCCCCAGCCCAGCTCCCCAGCTCTAGAACTCTGTGCATCAGTATGTAAAGCAGTATGCTACGATGTCTACAGACAAATCCAGGAGATACTTAAATTTAATCAGTGCCTATGACAAATATGTCAACACTTATTTGCCAGTTCATTTTACTTTTGCATTAACATAAGGAGGGGTTATTTGCTTCATAAAATATGTTCAGGTTGGATCATATAAAAGATTTCCTCTGGCTTAAACATCCATGACTGTTTTGTTGCATAAAAGGTGTCATTGTGTGATTTATTTTAAACATACATGTACCTAGATCATAGAAAGCACAATCTGATATCATATTTGAATTCACACACATTGTCACTGTATGTGCAACCTTGGCAATTTACTGTTTTATTTAATCCCCAGACACACAGGGCTTTTCTGCATAGAGCAAACAGACTGATACAGAGATTCATTGTTCATGTCCTTCCAGTCTGATTCCTGAGGCACATTTGCATTGAACAGAGCAAAGCGTAGCTCTCTCTACAGTTATCCTCATGAATGTATTATTTTCCAAAATCCACAACTGGAAGAGACATTAGCAAGAAACGTAAGTTCTTTAAATTGCTCCTTTCCCCCCACCAAATATACCACGGTAGCTAAGAAATAACTCCAGAAGTGGGAAGGTTTGGGCATATATATTCACAACATACAAACAGCTCAATTTCCAAAGGATTCCAGCAACATATTCATACACTTTGAAAATACTTTCCACCCAGCTCCTAATATGGAAATAAAAATCCCTAGAGGCAGAGAGCAGATTAACTTTGAGACTAAAGACTGATATAAAGAACACAAACACAAGAGACAGATTTCTCTGAAGCTGGAGAGTAAACACTCTGTGTCCTCAATACTCCTTCCCAGTCGGTCCTCAGTTAGTCATCAGGGCCCAGCGCCCGCCCTTTGCGGCCACTGTAAATTCTGTGTTTGAGGCTGGGTGGAGGACAATGTCCCTCTGTGTAACAATACATGGGCATCCTCCATTAATAAAGTGCAGAGAAATGCAAGCCCCATGGCCAGTCCTGGCATCAAAGCCAAATTAGCTCCCTAGGACTTACCAGCTGCTCTGCTGGTCCCGTCCTGCCCAGGTGCCGGCTCTGCTGTTCGTGAATAGAGGATTGGCAGGTCGGGGAGCTGAGAGGAAATGCAATTTACTGCATCTGGTAGCAGAGAACAGGGAATACAATTAGGCACAGTGTCGGGAGGCCCAATGGGTTCACTGCCGAGGCAGCAGCTTGTCTGCCCTACATAATGGAGCTCCGAGGCGGACGCTGGGCAAGAGGATCAGGGTAAACAAAGACAAGCATTTGCCCAGTGGCTGGTATTCAGCAGAGTAGCTGAGGCAGGAGGGAGCCTGGCCAGAGAGCTCAAGCCCAGGACTGCTCTATGTATTAAAAGATTCATCAGAAAGCTCTAGATTCTAAGACTACAATGAGTCCAGGGCAGGGGAAATGGCATGGGCCGGTGATAGCCCGTATCAGCTTCGGTGGGACTGACCACCTATGGGACATCAACTAGAAACGTGCATGAAGCAGTACTGAAAAATAGATGACGGGCTCATGCTCTGAGCTGGAAATAGAGCGTTAGTGCCTGATTCATTCAGAAAACCAGTTCTGTATGCATTTTTTAAAAAATTCTAGAATGTATCTAGAATGATTTCAAGACTTCAACTGGTGTTTCAGCCAGAAAATCCTGAGATTTCAAATAACACCACCTAGTGAACTCACCATTAGTTCAGTTGCAGGAAATGGTGCAAAGGAGGGAGACCAGCTCTGTTTGGGAAAATACCTTGACAAGCCCCTTCAGAGAGGTGAGACCCTGGAGGGCATCAACGGCAGCAGGGGGCCGAAGCGTCAGAGGAGGGGAGGAAGCCACTGGGCAGAGACAAGGAGAAGAATCTGTGTGTGCCCCAGAGAGAAGTGGAAAAGCCAAGGCAGGGACATTCTAGAAAGCTGGGCTCCATGTGATGTGATTCCCTCTGGGTCATAACCATGTCCCCCAGATCCTGGAATATCAATCACTTACCAATAATTACCTCTAACTGCTGACCGCATACGTTCACTGACTAGCCCACAATCACCTCACACTTGACATGCCCAAAATGGAACTCTTATCTTCCTGCATCTGCTTCTTTCCCTGTGCCCTGCCTCTTGGCTCCCTGGCACCCCAGTTCACCTGGGGGCCTGGGCAGCACCCTCCACGCCCCCTGCCAGAGTCCAACCTGTCCCCTAGCCTCTGCCCCCTTTACATCTGTTCCATCCTCTGTATCCCTGTTGATGCCACCTTTATTTTAGAGAGTTTCTTTTCTTTTTGTGATTTCATGTTGGAGAGGGCCATGAATAGACACGTTAGGATTCTGTTCAGTTTCTATACAGACTAGAACATTGCTGACTCACATGTGAGTCTGAACAATCCAGAATGTACTGGTATTAAACCGTTAGGTTCTTAGTGCAAAGAGCTCTGAGTGAGGATGGAGAGCGGAGTTCCTCTAAGAGATTGGATGTTTCCATACCCACCATCTGGGGAGGAACGGGAAGCCAGAAGCAGGCAGGCAGGCTGGCCTTAGGCTGGAGTGAGGCTCAGGTTACTGGCTCTCTCTGGGGGGACTGGAGCTCGCACCCTGGACTGGGCAGACGGGGCTGAAGACCTTTCATGGCAACGAGGAAAACAGAGCCATTGAGATGACGGTGGGCTGGGGGATGGCCGTAAAGCAGCCTGGTGCACCCCTGAAGATGGGCTTGCATTTGAGCCAGGGCTCTGAACATAGCCACGTGTCTGAAGCTGCACAGTATCTTCTATGTTGAACTGCCCTGCTAGTATTCCTGAACTTAGATGGCGCAGCCTCTTCTCACTGCGGGAAGTGTCTGGGCCCCAAACCGGCACAAGGGAAAACTAGAGAGAGCGGCAGCTTGGGGTAAACTGGTCTGAGGGGATGGGGTAGATTGCTAACAGTGGTCCACGGGAAGAATGGAGCTGCAATCTGGGGCCAGAGGAACAGTTTAGGGCACAAGAGACGACCAGAGCAGATTTGCAGAACTTGTGACTTTCACTGAGGATTTCCAGACTTGCCTGCAGAATGGCATCTCGGTAAATCTGACTTCCTGCATTTCACTGAGGTGGAGGCTCAAGCCATTAAGACCAGGCGAGACCTCATGGACTGGTCACACATGTATCTAGTACATTCTATGCTAACTATATAGTCTCTAGGGCGCCTCTGCATACTGAAAGTTTTAATAGCTAGAAACAAAAGCCACTCACAGCCAGGGGACTCTGCATCTGAAAGAGCATGTGATTCCTAGTGCTTATGTCTCAGCTTCCCCCAGAAGGCAGCCCCCTGCCCGGCGTGGGTGGACGACGGAGTTCTCTTTGCCCAGCATTCACTGGCTACCAGCTTGAGGACTACAGATCTTGGAGGGCCGGGGCCCCATGGCTTTAGCTAAGAGACAAGCGAGTGTCAAGGAGTGGGGCATGAGGAAGAAAGTAGGGCAGCCCCCTCAATATATCATTACGCAGTAAACCCTAAAGTAAATCCTAAGGATATACACTCAAGTGTCTGATATACCAACACAAGGCATTGCCAACAGGGCCTCCAAAGCATCCAGGGGAAAATGTGTCCATTCGGCCGCAGTCAGTACATTGGCCTCTTCCTGCCCAAGTCAGGGTGGCCTATCATTATCCTTCCCACTGCCAGAGAAGGTAGTGAGTAGAGACAGAGCAACAATTTAAGATGAGCGCTTCTTATAAATTCCAGCACTGCTAGCATATTTGCCGTAGCTATGAAGACCACACATAGCCAAAGCCAGAGAAACGAAGTTGATGAAAACTCTCTAGAAAATGTGAATTCTGGGCAACTTGAAGACACAAGGAGATTCCCCAACAACTGTGATGAAAGTGTTGATGTGGGGAAGGCTCCAGGCCACCACGGACTGCCATGCGAGGGGAACCGAAGATGATCAGCATCGCCCAGCGAGGCCTGAGACATTGTTCTCTTGCCGGTTCGGGCCGAGGGTGTCACACCATCTCCTCCACAGGTAAGGAATGGAGCTGGCACTAGAAACTGTATGCAATTTATAGTTACACAGGACACTGTGCCTATTTAAGGCAGTGAGAGCAACCCACTCCACTGGTGTGGATGTTGCTACGTAACAAGTGTGCCGGTGGGGAGAGGGAGGAAGTGACGGGGGTTCAGAATGTTTAGGCCAGGAAATTCTGCTCATGATTGGAATACATTGCTCTTGAATGCTGGGACTACCATGGGGTCAAAAGCCACTGGTGATGCAGCAGTACAGGACCTTTATTTCCTCTGACACGCGTAGGGTGACAGGCACAGGGTACCTGTTGTGGGGTCATGACACACGCACACACCAGCAGCCATCTCCTTGGCACCTCATTAAACCCCAGCTGCCTCTGCTAATTATCGGCCGCCTCTTGTGGTTACACAATCTTAGTTGGCCCTGGATTCTGTAATCAGTGTGTTTCAGAAGTTGGGTTATTTTTCTTAAGGTATTATTATTATCCTATAATAGTTCTGTGTTAGTTCTTAAGTAACAAGAGTTGATTGATTCTAAGAGGGTCTTGGCAAGTTTGAAGTCAAGGGAGCCTTAGAAATTAAAGAATGAGAAAAGAATCAGACATTTCAGAGTTCCTTACTCGGTGTGCTTCAGTTTTTTCCCCTCAGACCAAGGAGTTGACCTGAAGGGTGTCCACATTCTTGGGAGGCTGCGTGTTCTCCTTCAAACTTCTTGCTTTGCCCGTAGACATGGTGTGATGAAAAGCCTCCCCTTCCCCCAAACTAAGTTACAACCAGAGATGGCAGACATCATCATCCAGGGTGATGGGTAAGACCACAGAAATGTTTCCCTGGCCATTTGCTGGGCTCTCTAAGACTTCTGCATCCTCTGAATGCTGAGGTTCCCCATCTTGTCAACAAGTGACAGAGGACAGAGTCATCAAGGCAATTTCTCTGCAAGGCCCTCTTTAGCTATGACCGGGTTTCTCACCACCTCTATGAACTGCTTAGGTGAAGAGAGAGAAACAGTGGGAAGTGACGCAGAAGGAAATGAGAGAAGTTCAGAGTGACAATGAAAGGGACAGTGGCAAGGGTTTATGATGGGGCTTCACTTTTGCTTGTTAACATCTCCTAGGATATAGGGGTCTCTATGCCCTGCAGAGATTTCCAGGGACATGACAAACGGGCTCTGCCCCTTCCCTAATTAGAAAGAATTCCAGAAAAGCTCCTGGCTTGAGAAGAGAAAGAAAGGGAAAACGTAAAAGGCCAGTGTGTACCTTTCTGGTATGTGGGTGTCTGGGGTCAATGTCCTGAACCCCATCCCAGCCTGAATCTTGCTGCACAGCTGCTGCCCATGTTCACTGCCACAGGGCTTCCCTTGCACCAGCGAAACCCGCTCCTTCCCACACTGCCCCTCCAATCCCCCGAAAGAGCCAAGGCCACGTCCTCAGACCATGCTCCACCTCCAAAGCACAGAACACGAGCCCTGATTTGGCCACACCCTACAGAAGGTTCTAGAACTCCTATAGGCACTCCTCCTGGAGTCTCTGCTGCCTCAGCCCTGACCTATCTCTGCTCCCATGCACAGAGCGTAATACCTTCCCAAAGATCATCTGGGAAGCCAAAATTCAGATCCTCTGCCATTCACTGGCTGGGGGGGAAACAAATAAAAAACAAAAATAAAATAATATCCACCCCCCGCCCCGGCTCTTGAATTCAGAATTAGCCACAGTGCAGGCTCTTTGCTCATCCAGAAAAATCCATTACCCGTCTCTACACTGTAAAATCTTTTCCCATATATTTCCAAATGACATTGGGAAAACACTGATGTCAACTCTTATTCTGGCTCCTGATTATCTTCCCAGTTGAGAGGTGGACTTGACTGTACGAATGAGGTGAGCAGATGGGATGTGATCCTTCCGACAAGTCCGACATTCTGAAGCAGGTCTAGCTGAGGGCCAGAGCGAGAGTGGGCACTGAGCGATTCTCCTGAGTTGGCAGCTAACTAAGATACAGGGGAGCAAGGTGAAGAACGAGAGACGCACGATCCCATGGCCCTAGGTAAGGAGAGCAGAGGGCAGGAGGGCAGGGGCAAGGAATGGAAGGGATGCCAGGATGGGGACAGGAAGCCAGGGCCTGGCTCCCACAGCTCCCACACTTCCTGTGCTCGGGCCAACTACGCCCCTCAGGGAGGAAGGTTCTACCCAGACCCACCTCCCTGGAAGGCTGGAGAAACTGCAGTTTCCTGAATCAAAGGAAAACCAGAGGCCTCAGAAAGGTTTCCTAAACACCAGATAATGGCCTTTTGAAGTGTGCTGTGACCTGGAGACCTCTCCGCCAGGACAAAGGAGCTCCTTCCAGCCTGAGATCTGGTCCTGCTGTTAACACTCTCCGCTGAGCATCTTTCAAGAAAAGTCCAAGCATTGAACTTTGGGGAACGAATGGGATGGGGAAAGGGAAGAGTCGGGCCAGCTGTATGAGGCTAGAAACAGGGAGTCGAGAGACAGTCCGTGCAGAAGAGAGGCAGAGGAGGCTGGGGAGGCGTGGGCCTCCTCGGTGCCCTGGGAACAGTGCCGCTCTCTTTCTGACGCCCTTACAAACCAATACACCACGTCTCCTGGTGAGCGTGTGTTAATGAAGCTAAGCTGACGAGGATGAAAACATTAACCTACGGATGTGCAGAGAGCAGAGCGCTTGCACTTACCTCCATCCGTGTTGGAGAAGCTCTGTGGAAACAAAAGCAGGGCGGAGCGTTACTACACAGGCCGGGCTGCCGTCCCTCCTTCCCTCAGCCTGTCTTTCTCCCTCAGGCCCAGGCCCCCATTTCCACTGTGGTGGGTGAACCCAAGGCTCTCTTTTCTTCTGGAAAATCTGTTTGGGATCTTGAGATTTAAGGGAAAGGTTTGCCATTTCCACCTTCTACCGAATTCCTCCCACTTACCCAGCAAATACCCTTGGTTCTGTTGGAGAAGGGATATCAGGAAAACCAATCTTAAAATGAATTTGTTTAGATTGCTTTACTATGGCTGATGGGTGCTCGAGGAAGCAGGAGTTGCAAAATGGAGACAAGGTCCTGAGACATTCAGAGCCTACTGGCTTTCTTTCCAGACTGTCTCCTTTTTGCTACAGGGCACCGTCTGTTTTTCCCACACAGTAAAATTTCATGTATTTACACTTTGTTTTTCAAATTCATGTCCATTTGATATGGTTTTGCCTCTGGCCTTTTTATTAAAGAAAGGCTTAAATTAAAGCCACTTAATAAGAATTCGTTGATCGGTTGATAAGAATTGGCTTTAGGATTCTAGAGGCCAAAAGAAGATAACTTTTCAGGCATTGGATATATAAAGGGTTTGAACAGTAGGTAGATGGGGTTAATTTAATGACTCTTCTCTGTGCCTCCCCAGCAGGCCAGGTGGTCCCCGAAGACAGGCCACTCTCAGCTTCAGATGGCCCTGGCCTCACACACCTGCCCCTTGCTTCCAGAGTGTGTGGCTCAGCCCTGTCATCGACACCAACTGGCCCTTCCTCTGCGTGGCATTGCGTGTGCTCACGCCCCCGTGGGTATAACGCAGAGAAATCACATGTGTTCCCATCACCTTCTGAAAGTCCTTGAAGGATTTTTCCGTCTCCTTTAGTTTCTCTAGGATGATTTGCTCTTTGGCAGATATCTGGGACTCTTCACTTTCTAGTGCTTGGATTTCCTGCTCCAGCCTGGAAGACACACAAACAAAGGACAGGTTGCTTTATTGTCCTGCCATCCCGGGCGAGAGAGCAGCTCCTTCCCGGGGTGGGGGTGGGGGTGACTTCCTGCCGGGCTCTGTTATACCTTATGCTGAGATACCAGGCCAAGGTTCTATATTACAGAGCGTCCCGTGTTTTCAACCTAGCCACTGAGCAGAAGTTGGTCAAAGGAAAGCAACCCACAGCTACAGCCCCTGGTTCACTGCCACCGCTCTGCATATGCTCTGCTGTCCCCTCTCCAACTCAACGCCCACATTCTTAATTTGGAGGCAGACATTTTTACATGGCAGAGGACACAATATCTGAAAGAGAACAGCTTCATAGTCTCCTAGCTGTCTTGGAACAACTGCTCTTCAATCAGGCTGGCCAAAGGGGGAAGAGCCCATCTTACGGCCACCAAGAAATGGCTGGTGGCCGCTGCCCTCGAGAGCCTGCTGTCATTCCCCTCCACCTCCCGAAAGAGGGGAGATGCATTGGGCTGACACAATAGCCCCTACTCTTCTGGAACTTTCTTCCGTTTTCACAGCCATCAAATATATAGTTCACGAAAGGGGAAGTTCAGTGCTGCCAGGAGACTCTGGGAATATTCCAGAACAGCAGCGACAGTTATAATATGGGGGGAGTCTCAGCAGCTGTATTCTTTCAATGAAATGATAGTAATAAATTAACTTTTATTGAGCACTAAGTCTGTGCCAGGAACTGAGCTAAGAATTCACATGGCTTATTTTATTTTACAGATGAGATCATTAAGGCTTGACAAGGGACTCGTTTACTGTAGCAGAGCCCTGAAGCAAGAATTAGACACCCTGGCTAACTCTAGACCCTGCTCCTAACCGTTGTGCTAATAAACCCTTGCCATCCGGGCTCCACAGCAGTTCACATATGCCTGCCTTGTTAAACTGTGCCTGTGCTGGCACACGGGGGTGGCACCGTTAGGCAGCAACACCTCTGGGGTTACGAAGGGATGGATGTCCCCTGCTGAAAGGACTGTAGACTATTGTGCTTCCTGAATGATTTGATCTGAATTTATTTGTTCGTGCATTCATTCAAGTCTGCTGTTGGTCTCTTTCCCCTCTGTCATGCTGCAAGCGTTGCTGCAGGGTCTGTGCCTGCCTGTATGACTCCTCTCTGTGCCCCGCCTCCCCTTCCACCTTCCAGTCTGCTGCTGGGCACAGGCTAGCCACGCCTGTCAGACTAAGGCCTAAGGTTAAGGGTGCGGAGTGAGGTCTTTGGAGGGGTGAGCAACACTGAGACATAGATAGGCATGGATTTACTTAGGGATGCACTGTACCCCCCTGAGGCCTTTTCTGTTTCCTTCCCAGGCATCAGAAAAAAGAAAAAAAAAAAAAGCCTCTGGATGGATGAAACTTTGCAGCAATTACTTCGGATTATGCAGACAAACCTTATGCAAAATTGCTCCCTCCAAATGAACTCAGTTTCAGATATTCTTATCACTTCACTCACAGTAAAAGTGGACGTCCTCACAATTACTTATAACACCTTCGGTACTGGGAGACGAGTACCTACATGGCCTCCGCTCTTACCAACACAGCTATTTCACTTACACTTTAATCAAACAGAGCTACTCCGTACTCTCCCATTTGCGCCCCACACTTTTGCCTCCTCCAAGAAACCCATCTCAAAACCCTAACCATTCTTAAGTCTCTGCTCAGATACCACCCACCCCATGAGGCTTTCATCGATTCACCACCAGGAAATAACAACGCCTCCTCTGAGCACTTATTAGCACATTACATGTTAGGGCAGTGGTTCTCAACCGAGGTGATTTTTTGCCCCCTAGGAGATACCTGGCAATGTCAGGGCACACTTTGGTAGCCCGTAATTCAAGAAGAGCGGAGTGGGTGCTACTGGCATCTAGTGGATAGAGGTCAGCAATGCTGCTAAATATCCTGCAATGCACAGGAAGGCCCCCACAACAAAGAATGATCTGACCCCACATATCAATGGAGCTGAGGTTTAGTAACTCTAGAAACCATGTGCTGGAGCATATGTAAATTATTAATTTCCCCTACCGGATTATAAATTCTTCATGGAGAGACACAAATGCCTGGTACAAGCATGTTGAATAGATAAAAGGAGCTGAACCAAGTGGCACAGAGCCATGGCTGAACCAAGGTGAGACCCTCAGGATTTCTGAAACCAGGGCAAATTCCTCTGCGATCTTTGACTTGGGAGAGGCTGTGTGGGAGCTGAGGAACACACAGGACTTAGAGGACGGGGCGGGGGGGGCAAGTAACAGATATTAAAGAAAAAGACACAGAACTCCTTTGCATTCCAAATGTTCAGCAACATCTTTTACACACATCTATGTAAATGACTTTGGAGGGAAACTAGAAAAGGGAGAGCAGTGTGAAATAGGGGCAGCTCACATGGAATAGCCGAACGATCTAGAAACTGAACTAATTCAATGGGTAAAGGAGCTCTGGGCCAGAGGTTTCCTGGAAATACTAGATGACAGTCCTGGCTACACAAGTTCTGAGCAAATTTCACCTGAATCTCAAGGGACAGAGGACCTCAGCAGGTACTTAGGATGTGGGTCGATTCTGTTATTCACAAACATACTCTATCCCTCCCTTCTTCACCTCCATGGGAAGGGTATATATGTCCCTGACCCACCGACGTTGGTCTTGGCCACGTGATTTGCTTTGGCCTCATGGTGTGTGTCAAGATACCTTCCTGCCCCTTGACTTTGGGCTCAGCCATGTGACCTGCTTTAGCTAATGGGATGGATGTCGGCAGACACAACACAAGCAGAGGCTTGAAATGTGTTTGCCCGATCCGGCTTGTCCTCTTGTGCCTCTGCCAGCACCATCACAGAACTTCTTTGGGTGACTGCTGTCCCTTCAGCCTGGGGCCCCGAAAGAACACATGGGGAGAGGAGCGGGGCCCGACCCAGAGCCAGGAGCCATGCCCGGTCAAAGCTGTGCCTTACACTAGGGCTGCTCAGCCGAGCCTAGTCGAGATCAGCAAACGCCCAGTCTATTCAGAGAAGCATGAACAAGGATAAATGACGGTTGTTTTAAACTCCTGAGTTTGAGAGTGCTTTGTCATAAAAGTACTACTGCTACAGCAGTAACTGATACAGCTCAACCTGTACTATATTATAGGGATATATATTATACATGTGTGTATATACCCTAATTATATGATATAGATGTGTACGTATCCTAATTTTATATAGACAGATATAGATATACCGGTAATACCTGAAGAGAAAAGATTGGAAAGAATATAAGCTACCCTTACTCCACTTCCCCCAATCCTCAAAGAAATCTGGAAGGATACAGGGCAGCCCTTCATGAGGACCGAAATTGAGAAAATAGGACGATATCAGTGGTAGTTGTCTTTGGGTAGTGGAATACTGGGTGAATTTAGTTTTGTTCAACATGTTCCCTTTAAAAAAAAAAAAAAACTTTCACAGGCTGTGGCATAGGAAGGAAGCCAGGGCCTCCTTCATGGCAAGGGTGCACTCTGATATCGATCTGCAGTCAATTCAACCAATATTTATGAAGCTTGATTAGCTGGACTTGGAGAGAGGGCAGTACTACAGGAGATTCTAAAATAAATAAGATTGTGATAAAAATGGCTGACTTAAAAAACAAACAAACAACAAAAAGGCTGACTCCAAGTAACTTGCTTCTCCTGGTGAAGCTGCCCCAAGTGGTTAAGAATCCTCCGTGACCTGGTGCCCTACTGTCTCCACTGCCTGCCCCGGCCCTATGGGTTTCAGGGCTCTCAGCTATATAGTTCAGGTGCGAAAGATTTGGGTCATGATACTGCGTAACTGAGAAGGAGCAGAGAGACAGAGAGAGAGAAGGGAAAAAAAGCAACGAAACTAGACTTTTGAGATAAGAACAACTGAGTTTCACCCAAAGGAAATGAATGCAGGAAATCGACAGTGTATATAAGTCTAAGCAGCTCAGACCAAGTAGCAGGTTTCTCTACAAATGCACATGTGGGTCTGGGTCAGGTCCTAAGGGCGGTGGACAGTCCAGGCTATTTTTCTTTGCGAAACCCAGGTCCTGGGGGTCGGGGAGCATCCTAAGAAAGAGTGTTCTGGGTTAATAAGAGTCACCCCAGCAAGGCGAGGACTGCCACTGTTTTGTAGTTTCATGACTGAAATCTAATGCAGTCTTCCCTGGAGGAGCCAAGTAGGATATTGCTGAGCTAAAAATAAAGAATGGGCAGGAAGTGTAATTTATACACAAGGTTAATAGAGACTTGTTAGGCTGAGACAGGTGCACGTAACAGCTTCTGACCGGTTTGCTCTGTCCCTTCTGAGCAAAGAGCAGACTGTAATAGGCGGTTAGGAAAGGTGACACACTGCAGCTGTGCAGGTTTAATTTACTGGAGATGAAGTTGCAAGCATGGCTGAATGGCCTTCTAAAGTCTACCTAACCCCAACAGACCTTCCGCACAGGAAATACAAAGCATCTATGGCTCTAGGAAGTGCATCAATCATTGTCTCATTTCAAAATCCATTTATGCATCCAACCACCCAGCTTTTTGCAAACACATCTCTACCAGGCACTGCGCTGAGCATCAGGGACAGGGAGCTAAATCAGCCACAGTGTCTGCACATGAGTGTTCTTGGTCAAGTGAAGAGGACAGCCAGGTAAATGCATAAATTATACCACAACCCCAAAACAGCCACCATAAAGGAAAGAAGGATGCATTGTGGAAGCGTCAGCTCTGCCTGAGAGTGTGGTGGGACTCCAGGTTGCCCACCCAGTATCTAGCCTCCCCTTCCTCCACGCTAACAGGATCCTTATTTTGCTGGGGTGACAATGTGCTCAGCTGAAAATGTCCCCATCCCAGCTTCCATTGCAGAGAGGGGTGGCCACGGGGCAGCTCTAACCAATGAGATGTAAGTCAAGACCGTTGGGTTCCCCTTCCGGGAACTCAAACTTCTGGGAAAGCTCCTTAAAGGAGGAGGGTTGGTGTCAGTG